CTGACCACCGCGATCCTCTGTGCTGCCCAGCCAGGGGGAGATTGCGTGGACGTAGTTTGGCCATAAGGCTTTTGGGGGATGTGGAAGGAAAGCAGGTACCGTCCTTCTCCCCATTGCACAGCCATGGATTGGAGAAACCCCTGCAGGAGATGAGCCTGGGGACAGCAGAGGTCTGGGATGGAGCTGAGCCAGGAAGGGGTGGAAATGCAGTGGTTTCCCATGGAGCAAGCAGGAGCCCAGCTTTGCAGACAGGCTGCTGAGAGCTTCCTGCTGGGGCATGCAGGTGTGCTGCAGCCTCTCTGCAGGGTCTGCCCAGGGTGCCAGCAGTCCAGGTGTCTGACTCTGTCCTCTGTCACTCGCAGGGAGGAAGCTATGTATCCCCCATTGCCAGCTCACCCCTCATCATCCTTCCCCCTTTGTACCCCCAGGAGCCCTCTGCACCCTGTGCCGTGTGGGGAGAAACTCCAGCTGCAGCGTCCCCATGGCATGGGTGGTGCCGTGGATGGGCCAGCTGCTTGGGCTTCCCCTTGAATTCACTAACCAGGAACTCTTAAACTTGGAGCTTTAGTAAAATATCTGGAAGTGAAACCAGAAAAGGCAGAAAGGGCAGCTGTGACAACAGGGCAGGGGCTGCTTTCTTTCCCCCTCCTGTCTGTGCCCGTGGGCTGGCTGGTCCCCAGCAGGGCTGTTGGACGTCTCAGCGCTCGTGGTCACTTGCTGACACTTTGCACGTGATGGCAGCAACCCGTTTGTATTTGGCGGGGTGCGAGGTGGCACTGGTGCAGCTGCCAAGGGTGCCGCAAGCCGCGCGGCGGAGCGAGGAGAAGCCGTGCCATCTGCTGTTTCTTCAGCGCCAAAGTGTAACACAAACATAGCTGGGAGCTATGCAACACCAGGAGGGAAGGGGCCGTGCCTTGTTCCAATGCCGGGGCCCGAGGATCCCGCAGGCAAAGCATGTGTTTGTCCTGGTGTCGTCAGCTGTGTAACTGTGCCGGCAACGTATGCCCGGCACCGGGGCCTTGCTGAAACCCTCGCATCCAGCGTCTGTCCCTCTTGGCTTCGGTACCCCCAACGGCAGCACTTCATCGGTGACTGTCATAAAAAGCTGTGAAGGGGAGAAGCCTCGCAAAGTCATTTGCAACCTTCTAGCAGCGTTTCCCTCGTGAGCTGTAAGTGAGCAGCTTGCAGACAGACGCCTGGGTTTACTCCCCGGGCACGCTGGGACTCCCATGTGCTGCAAGCGGAGAAGCACAAGCAAGGTTTCCATGGGTGAAACCAAACAAGCTGTAGGCAGGGGCTGCCCGGGCAGGCAGCACCAGAGCTGGGAGGGGTTGCAGAGCACAAAAGTGTGGTGGGTGCTCCCACACTTGGCTTCGCTGCGACCGGTTTAATGTTGGAGGACAGGCAACTGCCAAGAGGGAAAGGAGCATGATCCATTGACTGCGTTGTTAGGAAGAGCAGTGAACTTCATCTGGGGTTTTCCGGAGGGTTTTCTAAGGGATTCCTTCTTCTAGGAGTGAAAAGGGAAAAGGGGATTTGAGGCGAGGCTGCGTTTTCCTGAAAGGTCAGTGCAGTTCCTGGGGGTCCCCGGACTCATCGCATCCCCAGCAGAGGATGAGGAAGGGTGTTTCCATCTGGGGTGGCGGGGGTTGCTGCACATCAGGTCCTTCCCCTTTGGAGAGTGCGAGCTGACCACCATCCACCATCCATCCCTTCGGGCGGGCTCAACCCTGAGCCCTGGGAAGGGCTGGAGCAGCCTGGGCGGGGCCAGGCAGAACAGGCAGCGCAGGCAGAGCAGGCAGCACGGGCAGGGCAGCCTGGCAGTGCCGCCGCGCGGGTAGCGGTGAAACTGCGCCTGCTGAGCGCCCGGCTGCTGGCAGGGGAGTC